TAAACCAGAACTACACAGCTAAGCTGCTCCCAAATTTCTGACCCACAGAAACTGTCAGATAATGTTTGTTGTTCTAAGTCACAAAGTTTTGGGCTGATTTGTTACATAGCAACAGATAACTAATACAATAAAGTAAGCCAAATTCCCTCTTGTTACAGCGGGATAGCTATTCTAAAAGTTTTTCGTGAGATTTTTTTAGGATTTTCAATATATGATTGTGTCATCTGCAAATAGATAATTTTACTTCCTCCTTTCTGGTTTGGATGCCTTTTATTTCTTTTTCTTGCCTGACTGCTCAGGAATGAATTCCATCATCACTATTTCTCATCATATAAAGTTATTACAATATTACTGACTATATTTCCTATACTGTACTTTTCGTCCCCCATGACTTATTTATTTTATAATTAGAAGTTTTTATCTCTTAATCCTCTTCACCTATTTTACCCATTCCCTCCCATACCCCTCTGCTCTGGCAACCATCAGTTTGTTCTTTGTATTTGTTCTTTGTATTTATGAGTCTGTTTCTGATTTTTTGGTTTTTATTTATTCGTTTTGTTTTTTAGATTCCACATATAAGTGAAATCATACAGTATTTGTCTTTCTCTAACTTATTTCACTTAGCATAATACCCTCTAGATCCATCCATGTTGTCACAAATGGCAAGATTTCATCTTTTATGCCTGAGTAATATTCCAACGTGTATATACACACACACCATATCTTCTTTACCTATTCATTTACGGAGGGACACTTGGGTTGCTTCCACATCTTTTAAATAATGCAATAAACATAGGGATGCAGGTATCTTTTGGAATCAAGTGTTTTCATTTTCTTCGGGTAACTATCCAGATGTGGAAATACTGGATCATGTGGTATTATGAGCATTTAATGTGCTGTTAAATTTGGTTTGATAGTATCCTGTTGAGAATTTTTTCATCTACACTCATCAGGGATATTGGCCTGTAGTTTTCTTTTCTTGTAGTGTCGTTATCTGGCTTTGGTATCAGGGTAATGCTGGCCTCATAAAATGAGGTTGGGAGTTGAATATATAGTTTAGAAAAGAAATACAAGGGCAACAAACAAATGAAAGAAGGAAAGCTGGAAAAAAACCCACAAAACTGCAGAGTATCCCTCCACATATGAATTTCAAGGAACCCTTGATAGTCAAAACCAAAAAATAAAAAGTGAATGATTTATACTTCCCAATTTGGACACTTACCACTACAACTATAGTAATTGAAAAAGGTTAGTACTGGCATGAGTATAAACATATAGATCAATTGAAAAGAAGAGTACAGAAATAAAGCTGTAAGTCTATGATCAATTAATTTTTGACAAGGGTGCCATGACTATTCAATAGGGAAAGAACAGTCTGCTCAACAAATGGTGCTGGGACAAATGGGTAGCCACACGCATAGCAATGAAGTTGGATCCCATCTTGCACTATATGCAAAAATTAACTCAAAACAGATTGAAGACTTAATATGTAAGAGCAAAAACTATAAAAATCTTAGAGGGAAACATAGGGTCATGTAAATCTTCATGACCTTGGATTTGGCAATGGTTTCTTATATATGACACCAAAACCATAAGCAAACAAACAAAAAAACAAAAAATAATTTGGACTACACAATCAAGAGAGTAAAAAGACAATCCACAAAATGGGAGAAAATATTTGAAAATCATATATCTGATAAAGAGCAAGTATCTAGAAATATTTAAGAAACTTAGAACTCAACAACAAAATGACAACCAAATTTAAAAACAGGCAAATGGTCTGAATAGACATTTCTCCAAAGAAAATATTTATATGATCAACAAGCACCTGAAGAGATGCTCAACATCATTAGTCATTAGGAATATGCAAATTAAAACAATAATGAGATACCACTTGATGCCCCCTCAAGTGAGTATAATTTAAAAACCAAGAATATAGAGGGGTGCCTGGGTGGCTCAGTCAGTTAAGCATCTGCCTTCGGCTCAGGTCATGATTCCAGGGTCAGCAGGGAGCCTGCTTCTCCTTCTCCCTCTGCCTGTCACTCCCCCTGCTTTTGCTGTCTCTCTCTCTCTGTCAAATAAATAGAATCTTTTAAAAAATTTTTTTAAAAAAGCAAGAATAGAAAGAAATTGGAAACCTCATACATTGCTGATGGGAATGTAAAATGGAGAACCTACTATGGAAAATAGTCTGGCAGTTGCTCAACACATCACATGTAGAACTATCATATCACCCAGTAATTATACTAGGTACTTATCCAAAAGAACTGAAAGCAGATTTTCAAACAAAAACTTGTACACAAATGTCGTTAACAGTACTATTCACAATAGCTAAAAAATGGAAATAACTCATTTGTCCATTAAACTGATGGTATACAAAATGTGATATATCCATAGAATGTAATATTATTCAGCTATAAAAAAGAATGAAGCACTGATATATGCTACAACATGGATGAACCTTAGAAATAAGCTAAGTGAAAGAGGTCAGACACAAAAGGTCACATATTATGTAATCCCATTTATATGACATAACCAGAACAGGTAAATCCATAGAGACAGAAAGCAAATCTGTGGTTTCCAGGAACTGGGGGAATAGAATATATGGAATGCTTGTCTAATAGATATGAGTTTTCCTTTAGGGGTGATAAAAATATTTTGAAACTAGATCGAAGTGATGGTGATGGTACAACATTGTGAATGTACTAAATGTCACTGAATGGTTAAAATAGTTAATTTTATGAGTGATTTTTACTTCAATAAAGTTAAATGTACACCTATCATATGATGCAGCCAGTAGTAAGAAAGACATGTGCATTGTACACAAATGTCCATAGTGGCTAAAAAATGTCCTACTTTTATAGCCAAAAGCCATAAGAAACCTAATTGCCTATCAACAGAAAATGGATAAGATAAATTGAGGTATGTTCAAATAATAGAATACATTTATTAAAACCAAACTGTACCCATAAATGGAGTGAATTTTATTTTATACAAATTCTATTACCAGAAAGATACATAAAATTAGTACCTTCACTAAAAATATATTTACTTAAATTTAAAAAAAAAGCAGCATGTGAGCAGGTTGTAAGTCCCTACTCCATCCTAACAGTAAGCTGAAAAGACTGAAAAATCAACATTTTTTGGATCGGTAAGAGGGAGGGACACCAGACAAACCACTGCCCCCAAGAATAGAGACACGGGTAAGTACAGGGAGTCACAACTTACTTTAGCAGAGACTTAACAGCTGGAACCACTGTGGGATCCAGTGCTGGCTAAGAAAACCTGAACTGTAATTGACTAATGGCTGGTGACTCAGTATGGACAATTTGAGAGTTAAAAACTTCAGGGGGACCCAGTTATGGGGACTCCCCACAATATTGTTGAGAATTATCACTAGGAACTCAACCAGGATCTTGACCAGGATTCCACAGTAAATATCAAGAGAAAAATCTTGTCATTCTGGCAGGAAGAGGGGGGAAGGTACCATTTTGAAATATGTCAAAGCATTCTGTTCTTTTTAATAAGGCCTGCCCTCAGGAGAAACTAGTTAACCAGAGCCTAACCTGCTAGGGTATTATCAGAGCCTAACTGACCTGGGGAAAGGGAAGTAACTGACTCCAAGCTACTCTAGCCATCCTATCTCATATGAGGGGAGATGTGGGGGAAGCTGAGAAATACTTGTAAGTTCACAGACATAAGCTCATGAAAAGACTAAGACCTAATCATAGGACTACTGAACTCTTTCCCTTCACCCACAACTTACCACCACATTACTAACAGCTATTTACAGCAATTCCTTTTACTCGGTATGGCTATCAAGAAAAAATTATAAATCACTATGGCAAAAGGCACAATTTGAAAAGACAGAGCAAGCATCCAAACCAGACATGGTAGGAATGTTGGAATTATCAGACTGGGAATTTAAAACAACTATGATTAACATGCTAAGGCTCTAACAGATAAAGTATACAGTATACAAGAACAGATGGCAATGAAAGAAGAAAGATGGAAATCCTAAGCAAGCACCAAAAGAAATGCTAGAGATCAAAAACACTGCAACAGAAATGAAGAATGTCTTCGATGGGATTCCAGGTAGACTGGACATGGCTGAGGAAAGAATCTCTGAGCCTGAAGATATCTCAACAGATACTTTGAAAACTGAACAAAGAGAACAAACACTGAAAAAAGAAAAACAAAATGAAATAAAAAAAAACAAAACAAAATATCTGAGGACCTTGGGACAACTACAGAAGGCGTAACATAAACGTTTTGGGAATACCACAAGAGAGGAAAGAACAGAAGTATTTGAAACAATTTAATGACAGGTGCCTGGCTGGCTCAAATGGTAGAGCATACGATTCTTGATCTTGGGGTCATGAGTTCAAGCCCCACGCTGGGGGTAAAGCTTACTTAATTAAAAAAAAAAAGCTAAAAAAAAAAATTAATGACAAGTCACTGTGAAACATCAAACCACCGATCCACTAAGTTCAGAGAACACCAAGCAGAAGGGGAAAAACACCTTACCTATAGAGGAACAAAGGAAGGAATTACATCTGATGGCTCCTCAGAAACCATATAGGCAAGAAGTGTTGAGGAAAAAAAATTCCAATCTAGAATTCTGTATCTTGCAAAATTATCCTTCAAAAGTGTAAAAGAAGGGGCACCGGGGTGGCTCAGTTGGTTAAATGTCTGACTCAATTTCGGCTCAGGTCATGATCTCAGGGTCATGAAATGGAGCCCTGCCATCAGGTTCTGAGCTGGGCATGGAGCCTGCTTGGAATTTTCTCTCTCCCTCTCCCTTTACCCCCCAACCCCCCAACTTGCACACACGTGCACATTCTCTCTTAAAAAAAGTGGAAAAGTAAAGATCTTCTCAAACAAAAATTGAGAGAGTTTGTTGCCAGTAGACCTGCCTTATAAGAAATGTTAAAAGTAATTCTTGAAGCAGGACGGTGGCCATGAAGTCGGAATCCGCTAAGGAGTGTGTAACAACTCACCTGCCGAATCAACCCGCCCTGAAAATGGATGGCGCTGGAGCGTCGGGCCCATACCCGGCCGTCGCTGGCAGTCGGTGACGCGCGCGAGAGGGACGGGAGCGGGCGGGGCGGGGGCGCGGTGGTCCCCTTCCCGGGGGGCCACCGCGGTCCCCCCCCCCAACCCCCACCCCGCGGACGCTACGCCGCGACGAGTAGGAGGGCCGCTGCGGTGAGCCTTGAAGCCTAGGGCGCGGGCCCGGGTGGAGCCGCCGCAGGTGCAGATCTTGGTGGCAGTAGCAAACAACAACAACAACAACAACAACAACAACAAAAAATAACACAAAAAAATATATATATAAAAAAAATAAAAGAAAAAAAAGTAATTCTTGAAAGAGAAGGAAGATAGTATTCAGATACTCAGATCTACATAAAGAAAGTAAGACCATCGAATAAGGAATAAGTGAATGTAAAATAAAAACTTCTATTTTTCTTATCGTTAATTGACCTAACAGACAACAGCTTGTTCAAAATAACAGTATCAATAACATACTCAATTATTGTACTAGTTGTAAATGTGTATTGCAAATTCTAGGACAACCACTAAAAAAAGTTAGAAAGGAAATATAACTGATATCCTAAGAAAGAAAAAAAATAAAATCATTTGAAATGCTTAATTAAAACCACAAAAGGCAGAAAAAGAATGGAGACAAACAGGAACAAAAAACAAGGGCAAAAAATAGAAAACAGTAACAAATATAGTACACATTAATCAAACTATATCAACAGTCATGGTGAATGGCAATGGTCTAAATGTACCAATTAAAAGACAGATTTGTTAGGGTAGATCAAAAAATAAGACCCAACTATATATTTTCTACAAAAAATCCACTTTAAATATAAATTAAACATAAATGGAGAAAAATATAACATGCTAATACTAATAAGAAAGCAGGAGTATATTAATTTCAGACAGAGCAGACTTTAAAGTAAGGAAATTATAAGGTATAAATAGGGCATTAAACATGATAAAGGGGTCAACTCTCCAAGAAGATGTAACAATACTTAATATGTATACACCTAAGACCTTATGTTTAACTATGTTAAATTATGTGAGGCAAACTATGGGGGGCAAAAACTAATAGCACTGCAAAGAGAAACAAGTAAATCCACAACCACAGTTGGAGACTTTAACACCTCTCTATCAGAAATGGACAGATCCAGTAGGCAAAAAATCAGTAAGGAACTGATCTGATAGTTGAACTGAACATCATCATGAAACAACTAGATATAATGGAGTACTTTATCCAACAAGAGCAAAATGTAGATTCTTCTCGAGCTTACATAGAGCATTTGCCAAGAAAGACCATATACTAGGCCATAAAACAGTCCTTAACAAATTTGAAATCGAAATCATACAATGTCTGTCAGACCACAATGGAATTAAACTAGAAATCAGTAACAGAAAGACAGCTGGGAAATCTGAAAAATATATGGAGATTAAACAACACATTTTTAATAACACAAGAGTAAAAAAGAAATCTCAAAAGAAAATACAAAATATTTTGACCTAAATGAAAATGAAAACACAACTCATTAAAATTGAGGGATGCTGTCAAAGCAGGGCTTAAAGGGAAATTTAGATCATTGAATGCATATATTAGAAAAGATCTAAAATGAGTCATCTAAGTTTCTACTGTAGGAAACTATAAAAAGAGTAAACTAAATCCAAATTAAGTAGAAGAAAATAAGTAATGAGAATTAGAGCAGAAATCAATGAAACTGAAAACAAGAAATCAATAGAGAAAATAAACAAAACCAAAGCTAGTTCTTTGGAAAGATCAATAAAGTCAGTAAGACTCTAGACAGGCTAAGAAAAAAATCAGAGAGGACACAAATTACCAATACCAGAAATTAAAGAAGGGTTATCATTACAGATCCTATGGACATTAAAAATATAATAAAGGAGGGATGTCTGGGTGGCTCAGTTGGTTAAGCATCTACCTTCAGCTCAGGTCACAATCCCAGGGTCCTGGGATGGAGTCCCACATCGGGCTCCTTGCTTGGCAGGGAGACTGCTTCTTCCTCTGCCGGCCACTCCCCCTGCTTGTGCTCACACTCTCTCTCTCTGACAAATAAATAAAATCTTTAAAACATATATATAATAAAGGAATACCATGAACTCTATGCACACAAATTTGATAATCTAGATGAAATGGGCCAAAGACACAATTTGCCAAAACTCACACAAGGAAAAATAAACACTCTGAATAGGACTGTATCAGAGAAACTGAATCAGTAATTAATAACCTTCCAAAACAGAAAGCACCAGGCCCAGATGGGTTCGCCGGCAAATCCTACCAAACATTTAAGGACGAAATTATACCAATTCTCTACAACCTCTTTCAGAAGATACAAGCAGAAGGAATACTTCCTAGCTTATTCTGTCATCTTTACCCTCATACCAATGTCAAAGAGACAGATGCAAAAAACCTCAACAAAATATTAGCAAATCAAGTCTAATAACTTATTTAAAAAATTATACACCACAACCAAGTGGGATTTACCTCAGTTATGCAATCATGCTCCTTGGTATTTACCCAAAGGAGAACAAAACTTATGTCCACACCAAAACGTTCACATGTTCACAGCATCTTTATCTACAATTGCCAAACCTTGGAAGCAACTAAGATGTCCTTCAGTAGGTGAATGGATAAACTATGGATCATCCAGGCAAACTATAGATCATCCAGACACAAAAGAAATGAGCTATCAAGCCATGTAAAGACATGGAGAAAACTTAAATGCATAGTACAAAGTGAAAGAAGGCAATCTGAAAAGGCTACAAACCATATGATTCCAATTATATGATATTCTGGAAAAGGCACAACTCTGAAGACAGTAAAAAGATCAGTGGTTGGGAAAGGTGGAGTGTAGAGGATCTTTACAACAGTGAAAATACTCTGTATGATATAATGATGGACACCTGTCATCATCTATTTGTCCAAACCCAAACAATGTACAAAATCAAAAGTGAACTGTAATTTCAACTATGAACTTTGAGTGCTTATCATGTGTCAATGTAGGTTCAACGATTTCAACAAATGTACCACTCTGGTGGGGTATGTAGATAATGGGAGAGGCTAGGCATGTGTGGGGGAAATCACTATTATCCTCCCCTCATTTTTGCTATGAAACTAAAATTGCTCTAAAAAAATAGTCTTAACAACAAAAGGAAAAGCAATAAAGTTACAAGTTTTACTGACTTTTATAACTAATCTCTGGAAAACAGGTTGCCCTACCCCATTGTTTATTGGCTCCCTCTGCCACACTGTCTTATTTCTTCATGATTCACTGTGATCTCAGCAATATAAAGACCTTTCTGGCTTGGCTCCAGTAGTTTTTGGTATCCCAATTCCAAAATTCAAGAAGAAATAATGTGAATGGTCTAGACATTTAGCTCTTATTCATTCCTATATCTGGTACTTCTTTGGCTGGAGACGGTGTGTGGAATGGGAGCATATTAGGATCATAAGCTCCTTAGACCAAACCCTACCCAATGGTCTTTAGAGTGATGTCCCTATATTTTTGGGCAGCTTTTTAAAGAAAAGGTTACGGGCAAAGAGATCAAGAAACAGCTATTCAAACTCAAAAGGAGGGATGCCTGGGTGGCTCAGTTGGTTAAGCGACTGCCTTCGGCTCAGGTCATGATCCTGGAGTCCCGGGATCGAGTCCCGCATCGGGCTCCCTGCTCGGCGGGGAGTCTGCTTCTCCCTCTGACCCTCCCCCCTCTCATGTGCGCTCTCTCTCTCTCTCATTCTCTCTCTTTCAAATAAATAAATAAAATCTTTACAAAAAAAAAAACTCAAAAGGAAAGGCAAATTTTGCTGTTTTTTAACTCCCCAATATTTTCTTAATTTAGAATTGAACATAGAAATGAATACTTAGGTATGTACTTCCCTATTATTAATCTAATTACACTAAACATATATTATTCTTGTAATAAAAAAATTCCACCAGGAGAAAATGGAATGCAAAAAAAATTTTTTTAAGTTACTAAATCTTTTGGTACCTAGTTTCTTCATCTTAACATGGGGATAATAATAAAAGTGAGAAAAGTGAGATTAAGTGAGAAAATATGTATAAAGCATCTGGAGTTCCGTGAATGTTAGTAAATATTACTCGTAATTTTTTACCACTTGAAATGTCTTCTGAACCTACAATTTCTATACATATTTTTCCGTATTTGTGAAATTTACAAACCATATGGTATCACTAAAATCTCTACTAAGCTATCCAGAATTACAGTCTATCACTTCAGAAAAAAAGTTCAAAAAAAAAAAAACAACAACAAACTTCCTCAGCATTTAACAAGATACAATGTGTTAAATTGTTAAAATAACAAGCACTGGTTGAACATATACAGTTTCAGAGTACAAGGACACTCACTGTTCTGTACCAAGAATTGCAGATATAAAGACAAAGAGGACAAGAGCTCTCAGTCTAGTGCTATGTTTACAACTACATTGCACTGAGGAAGAAGAATTCCACCTGGGGAAGTCTAGGAAAGTATTGGAAACCCACTGGGTAAAATCTTAAAGGGACCTAAAAAAGTTGATGGCTAAGTATATATAAAAATGAGAGAACAAATTTGGACAATGGTACTAGTACGGATAGAACATCACAGGTTGGAAAAGAGTGGTAGAATATTATGAAGTTGATGCTTGCAAACAGAGGTTGGAACCAGATTGACAAGGGCTTTGTAAAAAAATGAAAAAGTTGAGAAATCTGAATTATATGTGGTAGACAAAGAGGAGCCATCAGAGATTTTTAAGAGGCAATAATTGAAAGGACAGACTGCAGAGAGAGGCAGGAAGCATTATTTAAAATAATAATAATAATGACATTAAAAAAGAAGCATAAACTTTCTAATTAAATCTAGTTTCTGAACCTGGTTCAAACATTTTGGTAGTTGTGTGAGAACTGAACCCTCTTAGCCTCCATTAACTTACATGAAAATAGTAAATATTGCAGTGTTATATGTGAAGATTGAGATAATGTATGTAATGTGGTTTGTACAATGCTCAGTAACTCAGTATAATCGGAGATATATGTATCATTTACTATGTGCCACACACTAATCTAAGATTTTTATATGTGTTGAGTCATTTGACTCACAATAATCCTTCAAGGTACGTATTGTTATTATCCCATTAACACAGGTCAGGGATTTGAAGCACAGAAAGGTAAAGCAGCTTGCTTGGGTCATACAACTGCCAACTGGTGGAGATGAAATTTGAACTGAGGCAGTCTGACTCCAGTTCCCTGCCCTTAACAGTATATTATAATGCCTCCCTAGGAAAGATCAAGTCAGTGCCCTTAAAACCCTGTCAGGGCGCTCCTGGGTAGAGCAGTTGGTTGGGCTGCGGACTCTTGAGGTTTCTGCTCAGGTGGTGATCTCATGGTTTGGGAGATGGAGCCCATGACGGGCTCTGCACTGGGCATGGAGTCTGCTTGGGACTCTCTCTCTCTCTCAAATAAATAAATCTTTAATTTTGAAGTGTAGGAATCAGCACTTAACAAACCCTTCAAGGTAATGTGTACATAAGAAAATTTGAAATTCGCTGATGATTTAGGTAGATGGAGCAAAAATAAATGAAAAAAGTCCAGGTAAGGACAAGAAACCTATTAAAATGTAGAGACTAATTTTTTTAAAATTACTATTTGCTGGTAGCGCACATAAAATGAGCAGAACAGCTGTCTGCAATTCTTAGGAAAGTACAGCTAATGTCTTTGCTGCAATCTTACACAAACGTTTAAAGTTCAACAATCATAAATACTGAATATTTAAATCTATTTTTCCTGGCTAATAATGAAACAAAAGTTCACTAGCAGGGATAGGAGAGTAGGAGCAGCCAGTAATAGATGAAGAAATGTCTATTTTTTAAAAGATATTTATGCATTTTTATGGTATGATACCCTGGTGTTAAAATCTTAAAAGGAACATAAAATACCGGTTCCTATAAAACAACACAATATTAGACAGTGTTCAATAAGGCAAGATATAAAATTTCTATACATTTAAACTCATTTATATTTTAGATGTAGGGTACACATTTAAACTACTCCAGAAGAAGGCAGACTTTGCTATGGGGTTAAACAGCGTTTGCTATTTGAGGTAGTTCATCACTAAAAATTAATAAAGCAAACAACAACAAAAAACAAAACAAAACAAAAAAAACAAAGAAAACCCAAGTCTGTTAACATTAGTAGTTTCCATAATGACTCCACAATAACCCAGTTGGCCAATGAATGAAGCAGCTGAAAAGGCAGATCTGTGGAACTAGCTAAACCTTATCCCTATTGTTAGCAAACTAAGACCTCTATGAACTACAGCTGTTACTATAGTCAGTTTAAATGAGCAAGAGTCCCGGATTTTTGCGGTACAAGAGAAATGTCAATCGTGAAAGAAAAATATCCGGGTTTTAAATACAAAGGATACTCAGATTTCAGTTTAAATCCCCACCGGGGCATTTCAAAGACTGTCATATCCCTGCGGTCCAGAATAATAAAGAGTACTCTGAGTATCACTCTTGGGGGAACCCGGAGCCACGTACAGCACCTCCTCATTCTAAACCTGCCCCCAACCTTCCATCTTTAATAAAGGAAGATACTTTTTACCTGCGGTAACGCTTTCGCAATTAGGTCTAACTGCTGTTACAGCTTCAGCATTCGAGTCCAACCGGCGGAAATACTAAACTGCGTTTACCAGAACGTCAGATTAAATAAGGCTTAGTCTCGGGGGCGGGGGGCCTCGGAATCCTCACTACGTAGAGTTGGCTCGTGTGCGCGGGCCCGGGAGACGCTCCCCAGCGCCCCGACTTCCCAGCCTTCAAGCCCAACCCCACCACCCGACACCCCCAAAGGCACTCCGAGGCCTCCGCCACACTGTCCCGCCTCTCGACCCCTGTCCCCTCCGACGGTCCGAATCCTCTCCCTGGAATACTCAGTTTCTTCCCATTCTCCATTCACTCACCAAGGCGCGTTGGGCAGAAGTTCCAGAACGGTCGCGTCACTTTTCCCTTCTTCCGCGGAGCCGCAAAGCCGACCGCAAGCAGCCCCATCCAACGGCCCACAAGATTCAAATTCGTCCACTTCCGCCTGCAACCCGGAAGGTGCGCTAAATTCCACCCCCCGTGAGGCGGGGCCCGCGGCAACGCGGGGTGTGGGGGAAGGACGAAGGGCGCCGGGCTCTTCTCCGAAGGAGCGCGGTCTGCGTCGTGCTTCCTGCCCTGGTGTCTTTGGTCTGTGTTCTTACTTCACAGGTCACAGAAAAGTGCAGGCGCAGAGTCGGTGTCTCTGCCCGGTGACTCTTGAGAGGATCCTCTTGTTTCTGAAATGGACAGAGACGGCGCTGAAGTTTCATTCCTTCAAGGACTGGAGAGAATAAAAGCACCAATGCGGCCCTGACGTTTCCACTCCTCCCATCGCCCCCGCGTAAACAGCTACAGCGAAGAGGAAAAACAAACCGTGCACAGACCTGCTTTCCCTGGGTCTCCTCAGTTCCGGCACAGTCAGGACTTTTAACCTCTGTCCCTCCCCCTCTCTGAGGAAGACAAAAAGCCAAGTGCTCCAGTCACGCTTATTCGAACCACCAAGTGAAAATAAGTGGTGGTCGAACTAGTTCTGGTCCCGGATGGAGAACGTGAGGATAAGTGTTAGAAGGCCACAACTCTTTCTTCCCCCTCGGATAAGAGACTATTTTACGTGATTATTACGTAGTTGTCCTGTGAGGTCCTTAGGACAATAGTGTCATTTTCTTTTACCAAGGACTGCTTCTGAAGGGGTGCGTCTGGGGGCTACTAGAAAAGAAAGACAACATTTTTTAGCCCCAACCCCTCCAGAAAGGAAGCTAAACAACTCTGATTTTGACGTTGCCACCAGATCATCTTCACGTCTGATTTACCTCAACAGATCATTTCAAACCAAGCCATGACAGAACACCTTGAGCTTCTCTCAAGACTGCAGTTTGAAAGATTAGATTTCTATGAATTTATTTTACAGATAATCTGACAGAAGGGGGTGTAAAGCTATTAACTGGTGTACTGTTTTTAACAGTGGAAAATAGGAAATAACCTGTGTCTATCAATAAGGAAAAGATGAAATAAGTTATGATACTTTAGGATCTGATACACTGATATTGTACAGGCACTAAAAGAAGTAGATCAGTAGGGACTCAAATGAAATAAGGAAAAAAAATCAACTGTAGAAGGACTAAATATTGTATCCATTTAAAGTGTGTGTGTGTGTGTGCATGGCATACAAAGTTTCCAGATGGATAGTAAACTGTAAAAAGTTTTCTCTGGTAGTCAGATTGGTGAATGGAGATATGAAGAGACTTTTTTATCTTTTTCTTTATAACCAATTGAATCTTTAAAAACATGTTTTACTCTTGCAATTAAATGGTTTTTTAAAAGAATATTGTTGGGGTGCCTGGGTGGCTCAGTCGTTAAGCGTCTGCCTTCCGCTCAGGTCATGATCCCAGGGTCCTGGGATCGAGCCCCGCATCGGGCTCCCTGCTCGGCGGGAAGCCTGCTTCTCCCTCTCCCACTCCCCCTTCTTGTGTTCCCTCTCTCCCTGTCTCTCTCTGTCAAATAAATAAATAAATAATCTTTAAAAAATAAGATTGTTAGAAATTCTATGTTGTAGATACAGAATCAGGTTTAATAAATGTATAAAAGTATAATGTTTGAATAGTCTGAGTCCACTCATTCATACAGATTCATTCAACAATTACATGGTTATGGTTTGACCACACATTTTGTCATCCATGATATGTTGTATTATTTAATGTCACCACATTTCTAATGTGGCCGCATTAAATATATTGCTCCTTCAAGTTCTTTGAAGGCAGAAATGATGTCATATATTTTCCTATATTCTCATAATTCTTGGCAACTTCCCACCATTAAATTTCATCCTTCACATGAATTAAATTCTCAAGTTAATCTGCAAGCAAAAGCTAAATACTCAAATTTTCTGAGTTAGAACTGAGTTAGAATTGAAGAATTTATTTAGAGTCCAAAAAGAACTGTTTTTCCTTAGTTCTTCTTCTGAGTTTTCCTTACTCAGTTCTTTTTAGACTCTAAATAAATTCTTCAATTTCTTCCACCAGGAGTGGAAGAAACTTGACAAAGTTACCATCACTAGCAGCTCTGCCATTAGTCAGACCAATGATACTGATTTCTCATCTGCAATGGAAGGTCTCCTTAAAGTCACTGGCATATTTTTTCCCGTAGGGCTAGCCAGGCTTTTATTGTACAAATTGTCTAGGGCTGGTGTTTATTGAGTGGAATATCAGGTTATTTGCACTTTTTAAACTGTTACACCCCCTCCCCAAAGAGTGAATACAGATGAATTTGAATACAATCAGTATTCAAGTAATGCTACAGCATTTCATTAACAAAGAATATCTGCAATAAATACCCACTGACTAAATCAAAGAGCCTAAGTAATTAGACTAAAGAACATTTTAAAGAAAATATTCACTACAGGATATATTTAAATCTAACAAATCTGGCCATCAAACTGGGCATTCAAATAGCTAATAAAATTTTTTAAATTAAGTAAAATGCATTGATATGAGTATTCCACTTACTAAAACCTGCAAAAACTGGAGGAAAAAAAAAACATAAGAGTCTTATTTAGTTTCTGATAACCCCTCAGTAATCTGAATTAGCTGAGAACTGCCCCATAGAAAATTTGAATCATAGCTAACATAACCTCTCTTCCCTGCTTTCCTCCTCCTGTTCACTCCATATGCTGCAGAAAACAAGACAAAAACACTTCTGGGACCAATAGTCATCAGTTCACACACAAGAGCCAACACAAAGTGCTTTGGCAGAAAAGCTCCTAGAACTTACTTTGAAAGGTTCTTATCACAAGCAACACGACTGACAAGAACAATAAAATGCCTAGAAATAAATTTTTTTTGAAGTATAGAATATGTAAAAAACTGTCATTGGAAAATGTAAATGATTTCAATATTAACAAATGGAAGATGAATATTTAAGAATGGTTTAGAAAAAGAAGATTAGCAGAGGCTGGTAGTAGGAAATGTGTCTTACTAGATAGTAAAACTTAACACAAAGCTATTATGATCAGAGTTGTAGTGAAAAAAATTATTAGCGTAAAAAAGATAAATACAGGGGCACCTGGGTGGCTCAGTCGGTTAAGCGGCTGCCTTCGGCTCAGGTCATGATCCCAGGGTCCCGGGATCAAGTCCCGCATCTGGCTCCCTGCTCCGCAGGAAGCCTGCTTCTCCCTCTCCCACTCCCCTTGCTTGTGTTCCCTCTCTCACTGTCTCTCTCTCTCTGTCAAATAAATAAATAAAATCTTAAAAAAAAATACATAGAGAATCCAGAAAAATTCAACTATACATAGAATATTAATATATTATAAAGGTGGCATTTCAGTTTAGTGGGCAAGGAGTATTTTCATTCATAAATTAGCAAAAGAAGGCAATAACTGGCTATCTGGAAGATAAAAAGTTAAGCTTCTACCTTGCACCACATGGCAGATAAATTCTATGAGAACTATAGATTGAAATATAAAAAATATAACAAAAATGTATTGGGAGAAAAATTAGAAGAATAACAGTGACTTTAGGTTAAAGAGATTTCTTAAGGAAGGAAAATTAGAAGCCATAAAATTAAAGATGAATAAGCCATGCCAAAATATGACACTTCAGCATAAAAATTATTTTGAGCTAAAAAAGACAACTGAGAAGCAGACGCAGGAAGAACTCTACTTTCTCCCATCTAACAAAAGCAGGGCATAAATTTCCCTTTGTGAAGATGTTCCTCTCCTCTCTCATACCCAAAGGAAGGGAACAACCCTTAGCATTGGAGATGGATATGGCACTGATGAGTCTGCATAAAAAAGTCTTACTAAATAACCTTTATCTACCATTAGTTTCCCCCATATATTTACCTTCCCACAATTTACCACTCCTACAAGCTCAAACTCCTCTTCCTTTCTCTACTCGTTTCACAATTTATCATCCTTCATTAAAACAGTATAGGAACTCTCAAGCCTAACCACTTCTTTGAGTTTTTACTTTTTTCTGTGGACCCCTATGCATGTAAAATTGAGAAGAAAATTTCATACCTTTCTTCCTGTGAGCCTGTCTTTGCCAATTTAGTTTGTAGGACTCCAGGTTCTACCAAGAGGGTAGAGGAAAAATCTTTCCTCTCCTGCAAATACACATGGCTATGTTAAAGTTTAAAGTATTTATTGGCAAGATACACCATAAAACCTCAAAAGATAAATGAAAGAGTTGTGATAATATTTATAATACATAAGATACATAAGGTTAACAACTCTAATGTAAACAATGCTTATAATTTGATTTTTTCAAAAAGTAATAAAAATGAGCAAAAGAAGTGATCAAGAGAAAATGAGAAAGGACAGTAAACAAGAAAATACTCAAACTGACTACCACACAACCAAAAGCTAATTTTCCTTTCTTGGATTGGCAAAAATTGAAACAAGTCATAACATCTAATACTGGGAGGATGTGGTGGTAAAATGTACATTCTTGCCTACTGGCTGCATGCGTTACTACAACTCTTTTGAAAAAATCACTCTTTGACCAAATTTTCTCAACTTTAGGATTCTCCTGTAGAAATAAACATGATAGTGTTTTGAGGCACTCCTAATTAGAAACAACCATCCATCAGGAGGGAGGTGATTGAGAGTTATGGTACATCTATACTATCAAAAGACTTCACAAAGCTGTATTGCTGTCTCCTAAACTATTGCCTCCAAAGTTAGGGCTATTGAACCCCCAAAGACATATAAGTGAAAATGAAGAATGGCATTATTTAATTAGAAAAGTAATAATATTCTGCTCTATAGTAATACTGATAAACGTGGCCCTGGAAAATGGCATTCATTCTTAATTAGCACTCACCAGAATTGGCCCACATTGCTGGATTAATTGTCCTTTGCAGTAACTGAGTTGCTGTAAATTAGCCATATTGGACTACTGGTAATCCTTTCTGCCTTTCACACAAGTCAGATTTTCTTTCTTTCTTTTCTCTTTTTTTAAAGATTTTATTTATTTATTTGAAAGAGACAGAGCCAACGAAAGAGAGCTTGACTGACTTAGCCGTTTAGATGCCTTAGCCACCCAGGGGCCCCCGATTTTCTTGATCCTCCTCTCCTATCGACACTTAAAGCAAACACTTGACCCAGATTTTGGCAGGTCCTGGTCTCCCCTTCTTATTCCCTGGTAGGTCCCTGAATGCCTGTTCCCCTTGAGGATCAATTTCTAGCTTTCTGCCCTTAAATCATTCCTTATTAATCCCTATCAATATTGTGCCTGGTACCCAAGGTTACCTCATCCATCTCTCCTGACTAGTGACCATCCCTGAGACCTTGGAATGAAACTTTTTATTATATCAAGTTTCTTGCTA